AGCTACGGTAATTTGTACACTTTAGTACGACCAGACGGGGTTTTCAGGTCTACCTACCGGATGGCGTTCTCCAATCTCACCTGCCACAAAGCCACTCCCCCAAGCGGACCATCTACAGCTATCCTCTCAGCACCTCAGCACACGCTGCTGGGATTACAGCGCGCTGGCGAGCACCACTTCCTTCAACAGCAGTCTTTCCAGTGCACGCATACTCGACTCTGACCATCACTGATCCCCTCCACTTATCGACATCCGGGAGGCGAGCTCGCAGTCCGAGCCGAGACTAATCCTTGCACATTAGCTAACTCCAGACCTAGCGATACGAGCATTATCCAGATCGTCCTCACAAAGCCAACATTTTCTTTCCCTCTCCGGTCGGACCAGTCCAAGGATGCCTGATCCCTTCTACCAAGTATAGCCACAGAAGCAGATACACCACGATCCATGAACTCGTGGTACACTAGCACAAGAAAGAGGGCTAACCCCTCACCGAATTTTTTTTTTTTTGAGAGAGGTCTGGGCTCTCCGTCGCCCAGCTGGAGTCGCGCAGTGCGTGATCTTACGCGTATCACTGACAAGCTCTGCCTCCTGGGCGTTCAACACGCAAATTCTACCCTGCCCTCAGATCCAAGGTACTGGGACTACAGCGCTGCTCTCACAGCCCGGCTAATTTTTTTTTTTTTGTATACTTAGTAGAGCGCGGGTTTCTGTGTTGCAGGCTGCGTCTGAATATCCTGACTCAGTGGATCACCGCCTCGGCTCCCAACAGTGCTAGGGAGATTAACAGGCGTAGCGCCACTGTCCGGAACCAACAACACTAACGAGCAAGAATTTTAACGACAATCGTATACCATAGTCACCATGGACTAATGGTCTAAATGGCTCTCTACGGGGAACGCGAACAGAATACCATAGCTAAAGACATAGATGAGAAATGCCAGGCGGCGGCTGGCTCACATGAACTCCCAGCTTGGAGGCCGAGGCGGCGGATACAAGGTCAGAGCGCGATCACGACATCCTGGCTAACTAGTGGAAACCCCGTCTCTACTAAAAATACAAAAAATTAGCCAGGGGTAGTGGTGAGCGCCTGTAGTCCCAGCTACTCCAGAGGCTGAGGCAGGAGAATCGCTTGAACCCAGGAGGTGGAGCTTGCAGTGAGCAGAGATAGTGCCACTGCACTCCAGCCTGGGCGACACAGTGAGACTCTGTCTCAAAAACAAGAAAAGAGGCTGGGCACGGTGGCTCACGCCTGTAATTCCAGCACTTTGGAAGGCCAAGGCAGGTGGATCACTTGAGGTCAGGAGTTCGAGACCAGCCTGGCCAACATGGTGAAACCCCCATCTCTACTTTAAAAAATACAAAAAATTAGCCAGGCGTGGTGACGCGTGCCTGTAATCCCAGCTACTTGGGAGGCTGAGGCAGGAAAATTGCTCAAACCTGGGAGGAGGAGGTTGCAGTGAGCTGAGATGGCACCATTGCACTCCAGCCTGAGCAACAAGAACAAAACTGTGTCTCAAAACCAAAAACCAAAAACCAAAAACAAAAACAAA